TGGATTTCCTGTTTCAAAAAAAAATGTTTCCCATACATAACTATTTGATGGTCAGTTATTTACGGCTCTTTGTTTTTTCTACATTCACCTGACTTTTTCCTGTTTTAATTTTCATCTATTTATAATGACTTTGAAACAACACCCACAAGGGCAATCTAAAAATTTCAACAATGATTACTTACACATTGCAAACAATATAGAAGATCACTGCAACAATACCTGATGCTTTGCTAGGCTTCAGACCATTGTGGGTGCAAGTAAAATCTTTGAATACCAATCAAGGAAAGTATTTCAAAAGAGGTGACTTACCATCAAAAAACAAGTATTTATAGTGGTTAGACAGTGAAAGTTGGCTGCTTATTTTGTATTCCAGAGCTCCAAAACAGGAGCTTGAAGTCATGAGACTTGGCCAAGTGGTGCAGAATAGTTTCTTAAAAAATGGGCCTCAATAAAAAAACAGTTTCTCCAAATTTTGACACATCTTTTCCTTGATCAAAAAATGTGGTATTTTGGCATCTTGACAAGGTTTTTGCTGCGCATAGCACACACGGTTTCCGTGTGTTTTTTGTATGTAATTTTTTATACCTTATTTTTCATGTTTTTTCTCAATTTTAAATTTATTTCCTAGGATTTAATATTTGTAGAATTTTATGGTGAAGACTGTACAGTCTCATGGCTGGGAGGGGTTCCTCCCGGCCTTGAGACTGAAGTTTCTCAAGGCCGACAAGGCGGAACCTTGTCAACTGGAAGGATTTCCTCTCAGTCAACAAGGTATACTATATGTACCTCGATTATTACCATAATTTTATGCATGTCTGAAAGTGTAGGAAAGAAATTTAAAATGTCGAAAAATGATGAAATTAAGTGAAAAAATGGGTCTAATTGCATTAATAAAAATGAACCATTGATTTTTATGGAAAATGGATTCTTCCATAAAATTCTACACATATTAAAACCTAGGAAATGAATTTAAAATGTTGAAAAAAACAAGAAAAATAAGGTATAAACAATTAAATACAAAAACACATCCAAGCACGGAAACCATGTGTGCTGCAAGCAGCAAAACCGTGTCAAAACATGGGAAAACCACATTTTTTTATTAAGGCCTAAAATGAAAAAAAAAAAGTTCCAAAATTTGTGAGAAATAAAAAAATGAAAATTCATTTTTCCAAAAAAAGCCTTGATATTTACTTTGGGGGAGGAAGAGTACTGAGAGAAAGAAAGATTGGGACATGAGAAGAATGTTCTAAATGAAAGTTTTGGAAAAATCGGTTTCCAGATAGCTTTAAACAGCTGTTGAGTGGGGCATTCACCAGCCCACATTGCCATAAAGCACTAGAATCTACTGTTTTGGATCCAATCTGGACAACCAGCCTGGCTCAACCTTTTTTGGTTCCAATTTTTTCATTTATAATCATTCTTCCTATCTCTCAGCACTCCCACTCCTCCAGAATGAATATCAAAGCTTTTGAAAAAAAAAAAAAACCCAATTTTATTTTCTATTTTTCACCAATTTTGAAACTTTATTTCTTGTTTCTATTTCTTCATGTTCATTTTTTGAGACCTATTATGCACCACCTGACCAAGTCTCATGACCTCAATTTTGTGTTTTGGAGCTCCAGAATCCAAAATAAGCAGCCACTTTTCACTGTCTACCCACTGTACAAGCAGCGGTGGGCCGCTACGCTACACTACGCTACAGGCCCATGTAGCGTTAGCGTAGCGGCACCATTTTTTCGTGTAGTGTTAGCGCGCCGCTACTGCCGCTGCGCTACCCTAACTCGTAGCGGCGCTAACACTAGCCAAATTTTGGTGTAGTGTTAGCGCACCGCTGGCGCCGCTAAGCTACAGCGTTTTTAGCGGCAAAAAACACCTAAAAACCGCTAAAAACGGCTGTAACGCAGCGTAGCGGGCGGCTTTTTGCGCTCTGTGCGCGTAGCATTGGCTCACATGGGGGGAATCGCGCTAACGCTACACTAAACGTTAGCGCAAATGTTTCCCCCATGCGCATAGCGTTAGCGCAGAAATTGAAAAACACGCTAACGCTACGCTACATTGTAGCAATTTTTTGCTACGCTAACACTACAGTTAGCGTAGCTGGCCCACCGTTGGTACAAGGTTGAAATTTCTTTTTTATTAACAAGGCTATTTTTTGATTTATATTGAAAATTTCAGAACCAGAAGTTTATTATTTCACCCCAAAAGGAGGTCTATCTCACCTGGCAACAGTCTCAATTATTAACTCTTGAAAAAATTGTGGGAGATCAGATGGCTGCATGGCACTGGTATAACTCTGCTGTAATAATTCAAAAATATCTCTGCAGATGCTTAGGATGATCAGAGTGAAGCTGATTAGATGCAAGATATAAAGTAAACTGCATAAATTATGTTACTACAATTTCTGAGCATTTTTGCATAGACAATTTTGATGTGTGTGAGACATAACCAGGAAATGAAAAAATCTGCATGTAATGCAAGTATCAGTTTGAAAAGAACACTGTATTTATTTCTTTCCTAAGGGTTTGAGTGATTGATGATGCTGAATTACATTGAGACTGAATTGCCCAAAAATTTAGGGCTGGATGGAAGACCAAGTTTGTATTTCTTGGAAGGAAAGCTGTGGATCCATTTTGTGCCCGGAATCCGGCGGGGTTGATCAAGAGATTCAGGTAAATTAGAATGAGCTTCTGTAGCAACCTTTCGGACCCAGACTTGGATCGTCAAATCGCCAGAAAATCCGAGTTGGTGAGGTGAAGCGATTGGCGACAACCTAATCGTCCGTGAATTTCCCTGGATTGTTAAATCAAAGAGCTCGGGTGAAATGGATAAAAGTTGAGCTAAGCTCCCTATTAAGACTTGAAAGTTAACTTTTGTATCCATCATATGAATCTTTGGTGCTTGATTAGTGATAGCCAGATTATCGGGGTAGGTTAAATTGACAGCTATTGTTTTGGAAAAAGAACGCTGGTTCCGAGTTACTCGGATTGGCGATGGCGCAGCGTCACGTTGGTGGGGTTTCTGTGGATTAAGATGCGACTGACCATCGTTCTGAATCAGTGATTGGAAATCCGTTCGCCCGGTGTCGAAATTAAGTGCTTTGAAATCGTAGCATAGAGAGCCGTTGTCTTTTGATTTTATAATGGGCGCTGGTAACGAAATCGATGGATGGAAATATTGTTAGAGTTAGTCAGCAAAGTGGGCCTCAACAGGAGACAGCCTGTAAAAAGCTCACCATCATCAGATTCCAGACTGGGGAAACTGGACCGAGTAGATTTTGGAGATGATGAAGTACTGCTTGAACTGCTGAAGTCACTATCAGACGATAATCCTGGTACCGAAGCATCCACCGAATCATCCGGGAGTGAACAAACAATCTTCGGTGCCGCAGTGTAGCCATGACTTGTCATCGTTGTTTCCGAACCTGCGCCTTTTTCCAAGCTGATGGTTATAGGTGGCTGTGTAAGATGCGAAGCATAGGCTGTTGTGGTGGACATGAATACACGCCGGGATGGTGAAAATAGCTATGAGAATCGAAAAATTAGAACTCCAACCGGTACCGGACCGATGTTATTGGCTGTTTTGATAATATACCGGGTTATGGAGAGGAATAAATGACCAGTCAAATAGTTATCCAGCGTGGGGTGGATCCTCTTATCAGACCAACAAGTACCCGTAGAAACAGAACTACTTTGGCTGCCGCGACGATAGCATTTTGCCATGGTACGATCATTGTAGACAAAATTTCAAGTCATCCTCTTTGATGAATAGCAAATGGAATCCATGAGGTGGTATCCGTGCAATTTTCAAACAGTGTGGTTGCCAGGTGATAGACCTGCAAGTATCGCTCTGCTCTCCAGTCACAAAATTAATTGTCAATGCAAGCTCCTTTATCGATAAACGTGAGCATCTCCGAGTCCGACCTTAATTTTAGTCATGAAAGAACCGGACTCTTGGCTACAGTTCATTTGCTTGATATAGGTCAAAGCTGGTGGTGAAGATGCTCTCAAGACATGTTTCCTTATGTCGAAATCTCAAGGAGCAACCAGACGTAACAGAATACCTAGCACATATCAATCTCCGAGTGCAACAATGTGAAATCGAGTTTTGAACTGTGATAACTCCTATCCCTTCATCAACACTTTTGCCATGATACCCCAGACCTCTCCTTTCACATCTCCAATAAACAGGTATTTTTTTCTTTGCCTTTTCCAACATGATGTATGTATATACACTGCTATCCCAGCCACCAAGGTTTTAAACTCTTGATAGCCAGGTGAGATTCCTCTCAACAATTTCAAGTATAAAATCTCAATCACCAAGAACCACACTTGCAAATAAGCCTAACTTACACAGAGATGGGGGTGGGTAGGGGTTTGGGTAGCACCGTTGAAGACTGACCAGCAATTCAGTTCAAGCTGGGTTCAGACACCGTAGATATGTCAATCCAACTCTAGGGCGTGATTATATCAGTGGCAGTGACCCACCAACAACAGCCAATATGGGGCTTGATTGGCCCTGCAACTGCTTCACTCACTGTGAGGGACATCGGTTAATTTCACTCATGATTATCATCTGATTGAAGTACGATGAAAAAAAGGGGTTATCTCACCTGGAGACAGTTAAGATTAGATTGTCTGACAGATGTGAGTGAGACTTTGAGAGTCTTATAGTCTCAACTCACATCTAGACTTTACAGATCCCTTTTTTTTTTGAAGATGTTGATGATTACAAGATGAAAGCTAATTATTAGATCCAAAATTTAAAACAAGTGACAAGTTCATTTGATGGTAATTTCTGAACAATCCATCTAAAAATTATTAAGGGTAATCTTGATTTTCACACAAGACTTGATTAGGAATGAGGGGGGAACCAGTTAGTAACACACATATTAGTTTGAAGGACATGTTACAGAGAAGGTTCCAATATAGTTGATCGAAGAGACTTTAAATTGACACAGATCTATGTGAAGATTTCGGATTTGATGGAAGACCAAGTCTGACTTTTGTTGCTGGAAAACTGTGGATCCATATGGTGCCAGGAATCCGACGCGGTTGATTAGATAATCCAGGGAGACTTGGGTGGTCTTCGGTGGCAGCATTTCGAATCCAAACTTGGACCATCAATTCACCGGAATATCCAAGCTGATAAGGAGAGGCGATAGGTGACAATCTGATCATCTGTGAATTTTGCTGGATCGTTAAATCGACGAGCTCGGGTGAAACAGATAGAGACTGGGCCAAGATTCCTAACAAGATTTGGAAGGGATATTTGGCTTCCATGATTTTGATCTTTGGCGCTCGATTGGTAGCATCCGGATTGTCGGGGTATGTCAAATTGACAACAATTGTTCTGGAAGAAGAGATTTGATCCCGAGTAGTAACTGGAAGTTGCGATCTCGCGGCGTCATGTTGGCCTGGTTTTCGTAGATTAGGAGTCTGCAGTGAGGGGGCACTCATTCGAGCGGTGAAAGTAAGTGCACTGAATTCGTCGCACAGAGAGTCTTGCGTCTTTCTCACGGGATCTAGAAGCGACGATTCAATCAGCGAAGCAGTCCTCCACTGAAGAAAGTCTAGGAAATGCTTACAATCATCAGATACCAAGCTTGGGAAGCTGGACCGAGTGGATGTCGGAGATAATGAAAAACTGCTTATGTTGCTGAAACCGCTATATTCCGAGGACAACGAGGACAATCTTGGTACCGGAACGTTCACCGGACCATCTAGAGGAAAGCCTCCAATCTTCGGTGCACCAATATAGCCATATCTTTTCTTCGTGGATTCCATACTTTCTCCTCTTCCTCTCGTGGTATTCGAAACAGGGAATGTTGTGGGGGGCATGATTGGACGTCGGGATGGTGAAGCTATATTTATCTCTGGAAACCCAAACCGATTGCCTTCTGTGTCTGTTAAACTACTATTATGGATCACGCAAATAAGAAAGCCGCGAACTGAAATGAGAAGTCAAAGCCGGTGCCGGACCGATAGCCTGATCTGTCTGGATGAAATACTAGTATGTATCACGCAAGTAAGAAAGCCGAGACCTAGAATGAGCAGTCAAATCGTATTCAAGCACAGGGTAGCTAATGATACATGATGCACAGCCACAAGAGATATATAAGACGAAGAAGAACCTGCAGCGAAAGAAATGACTGTCTTGCCACGACGAAGTGGTCTTGCCATGGTACGATAACTTCAAGCAGAATTGAGAACTTAGTAGGTTTCATGGATTGACAATGGATACCACCAAGCGGCATCTCTGCAATTTTCAAACCGGCTGGTTGCCCGAAGACAGGCCTGCGAGCATGGCTCTTCAGACACCAGCTTGGAAATGGGAAGGCCGTGATTGGTTGTAAACGTGGCTATCTGAATGATGTGAGAGTTAGACACTTGGTTACGGTTCAATTGTTTGGGCTTGACCGGATCTAATTCGGCGGCAGCCAAACTTAGCTCGAAGCAGCGGCCTGATGAGAGCAGATTATCGGTTCGACAAACTAGAGCGAGTTGTAACTCGCGGCTAGCGCACTTAACTATCTAAGTCCCTCTTGGCGTTCTGTCGTTTTTTCCAGAGTCTCTCCTGCGGAGGTGGGCGCTTCGCGCCCAGGAGGGACTTAAAATAGTTAAGTTCAAATATTTATGTGAGCAGAATAGCGACTCGGAGTTTCTGATATTTCGACCTTGATGAAGTCCCGAACTTTACACGCGGAGAGCTAACTTACCCCAAGCGGGCCTGGTATAGCGAGGCTGACGCGACGCCAGCCTCCCTCCGAAGGATTGACTTCCGCCTGTACATTATAACAAATGCCGGTTTTTTTGGCGTGGGGAAGCTCATGGCCGGGCTGTTCGTATATGGGGAAAATTAGATTGCGCACGATTTCGCGCAGTTCCCAACGAAATATGAATCTTCCCGTCGTTCAATAGATTACAGACGAAGAAAAAGTGGATAATCAGCCTCTCGACTTTCAGAGGTTCGCTTGGCGAGAAGCCAGCGGGGCTCTGTCGAAGGGATTTGTTCCGCTGAACGTGAGTCCCGTTGGTAAGAGGGGCTGGCTGCCCTGGGGGGTAACTGGCTGGTCGCATCGAGGCGCCCCCCTCCCCGCAGGGAGATTAATGGTGGGATTGACTGGCCCGCACGGCACTCTCACCATGCGAGGCATTGTTAAGCTCGATGATCAAGTCCCTTTCTTCACCGCTATGAAGGTGTGATTTAGAGCGATGGTGTTTATGCCATGAAGGGACCATACACAACCTGCCAAACGAAATGATCGCGTTCTTCATCTCAAGTGGTACGTGTAGCTGCCAACGGTTCTGAAAACGGAGCTTTGGTTTGAAGCAAGTTATAACACCAACCTTATAGCATGGTCCGGTGCGGTTGAGATCCATAAGTTGCTGGTTAGTGCATCTCCAACCACGTAGCTTGATGAAGTAGCCACCAACAATGATGCTCTATGAGTTTTTTTTGGTCCGACAGGATTTTCCGAAAAGCATCAAGGAAAATTCAACTTATGGAATATTAGCCTTTTACACCCAAGCCTAACCAGCCTCTCGATTGGCGGGTCGCGAAGAAACCCCTTTGGAGGGGGGGGGGTCCCACAGGACGCATTCATTGATCTTTTTGGAACAAAAAAAATCATAATAATGATAATTGGATAGTTATTTATTCTGTGAGTGTAGGTAGAGATATCTAGGCACACAAAAGCACGCACATAAGGAACAGACAAACAACCCAAAGATCAGCCTGCGATGAGATTACTGAAAGAGCTTAAATTGTTTTAGGATTGGGAAAAAAAGTGATATGAGAAGTTGATTTAAAATGATAATGATAATGATGATGATGATAGATGACAAAGATGACAAAGATGACAAAGCTGATAAATATGATGACGATAAATGATGATGATGATGATGAACAATACGTGAAAACGAAGACAACGGAGAAGCCAACTCGAGGACCACATGAAGCTAATAAATAATGAAGAAGAGGACGATACTATAGCGACGACGATGAAGAGATCATGAGTAGAAAAGGACCACACTATAAGAATGATGCTGGCAATACCAAAAAAAAAAAAAAAGCTCACACAAACAAAACAAACAAATAAGTAACTGATTATAGGGAGATGATATACGAATGAACAGAAGCCATGCTAACAAAGAATCAAAAACGATTTTTTTTGAGGGGGACAGGATCACTACATACTATGCTCGACTAGAAAAAAATCAGTTTCGAGAGAGAGAGAGAGAAGACAAATAGACAGAGATAAAAAGATGGAGAGGAGGAGGTAAAACGAACATGCACGATGATGCTAAAAAAGAGAGAGATCAGGAGAGAAAGCGGAACGAAGAAGAGGCCGAGCACGAGCACGAGTGACAGTATGAAGGACCAATCACACTGAATTTTAGTTGAAAGCGATGATTACTAGACCTGAATCCCATGATTTTGGAGGATAGATTGGACACGATTGATTTCGTTGAAGAGAGCGAGATTGCCGTCGGCCATCCACTTGACGAACTCAGCGGCGCGTTCGAGGACGACGGATTTACTGGCGCCGGTTTCGATTTCGCCTCGCCTGCCTCGTCCGCGAGTTTTAGGTTTCTTATTATGATTGGTGCTGGTAGTATTAGAAGCAGTGGTGGTACTACCAGCCGATCCGGGAGGGTGAGAGGGAAGGTCCGGGGTGGCGATCGAGATCCCCGACTGGGCCTCCCCAGCTCGTAAGATTTCGACCAGACTTCCAAAGCCTCCTTGGATTGCGTTCCGGCGTCTTTGCTCGGAGACCATGTGGGTGCTCTTTCCTGGCTTGCCGTTGCGCTTGGAGACCCGTCGTGAACCCTGCTGGTCCTCCCGATCCTTAGTCTCGACCGGGTGACCATCAAGAGGGCCGTTGGCATCGGGTGGAAAGACGGGAGACACTGACGGGGCTTGGGTGGGGATCGGGTCGATCGTTTGGCCGTGATGCGGGTAGCTGGGTTGACGAGCATGCGGGTCGTGGCCGAGGAGGAGCTGGCTGGGCCATTCGCCGGAGTTCCCGCAGGGGTTGCGGTTCCAGGCGTGGTGCATCTCCACATCCGGCTCGAGCTCGACGCCGTGGTGATGGGGCACTTCGGGGATATGGACGGGGCGGAGCGGGTCAAGAAGGGTGGGAGTGTTGGAGGTCTTGGCCTTCTTTCGACTCAGCGCGCCCTGCTCCTGGTAGATGTGCGAGTCCGACGAGCTCGAGAGCGAGCCTGAGGTGGTCTGGAAGGACTGCAGCGACGGCCGTCTCATATGAGAATACTCCGGCTCCGAAATCTTCAGTCGACTCTCCACCTCCCGTCCCATCTCATCCGTCTCCCGCTTCCCAAAGTATGGAACCGGGCCATCCTGGCCACACTCCTCCAGTCTGCGCTTCAGCTCACCCAGGACTGGCATGCCCTCCGGCATACCTTGCGGGTCAAAATCGCATTCCCCATTCGAGTCTCCCAGAATATTGAGGAACGACGAAAGTAGATCTTGCTCCGAAGCGTCAAAAAGTGGGGGAGGTGTTGGAGGGTTGGGTGGGGGATAATTGATCAGGTTGTGAGCTGATACGCAAGAAGGCTCGTGGAAGTACTGATTAGAGCTATATATTTGATTCGGGGTACGAGAGTTGGACTCGATCGGGGCATTTGATGGCGGAGGTCGAATCGACGCGGATGGATTGGACTGTTGATTGGGCAGTGCGTCGTGCAAGAAGTTGTTCAAACTCAGATCTTGAGTCAAGTGAGGTGACGGGAGTTGGTCTCGGCTTGCTGGGGACATGCTCCAGCTGCTAGGGAACGAGAGCTGATAATTCTGCCCGTAGGTGCCACAGCCAGTGTGGGGATATGTTTGGTATACTGAGTCGGGGTTACTGGCCTGTAAGTCACTGGATCTGGGACCATTGTGAGGTACTGCGCGATCGGAGGGCTCAATGGCCGGAAGTGCATATTGGAAATCTGAACAGATTGACAGACGGGATGGATGGATGATCATTATAGGATTGGGAGATGGAAGGAGAAAACCAATGGATCAGCGTTCATAGCCTATACTTGGCAATCCGGCCAGCTCAAGACGCACCAGGCAGCGTCTGTCATACAAGCTGGTTTGAATCGAGGAGTATGGGCAGAGGCCGGCGAAGACACACACTTTCGTAGGCGACAGGCATGGGCAACAAGCCAAGACCATGAGTACTAGGAAGCTGAAGGCCATTTTCAAAGGTCTCCAGCCGGAGGGAATGGGATTCAAGGGGCTGTTGAAGGCCGAGGGACGCATGCTGCTGGTGGTGCTGTTGGTGCTGGTGGTAATCCTGAGGTTGGTGATAGTCAATCGTCGACGGGCCAAGGTGGACATGATGCCCTTTGGTATGGGACGGGGGAGAGTGGAGGCCTGAAGATCTCATGAACGGGTACTCGCTCGAAAGACAAGCATGGTTTGTGAACTGAAGAGTACTGTCAGACATCTTCCGCCTAGACGGGGTGATTTCAATCTTTGGTTTTTGTGGGGGGGGTTTCTATTTCTAGAGTGAAGCAAGCAAGTCGGAGAAGACGCGCTGCTGATCAGCGAGTAGGATGGAGGAAAGCAGAGAGAGCTGGATCAGATGATGGGCTCGGATGCCAATCTGTCATGATAACTGTCAAGACCTCAGAGGCTTAAATATGATGAATAAATAAAAATATTTATTTATTTATAAGTGAAAAACAAGGCCCACTGGATTATGTCTCAACTCCCAGAGGAAGAAGTGTACGCTGGAGTGAGGAAGGGAGAAGCGGAGTCAAGAGCGAGCCGGCTGGATTTCTTGCTCATCAAAAGGCCGGACGGTGGTGGATTCAGGCTTTTAATGAGTCATCTTGATCGACCAAGTGTAGATTGGGGGATACAAGGAAAGATAGATACGATGGGGTGGGAGGATAAGAGAGAGAGAGAGAGAGAGAGAGAGTTGGGATGGAAGGAAGAGTCAAGAGGCTTGTTTTAGTACTTCGGCAAGATTTTAAGAGAGGATTATGTATTAACCCAGGTTGGACGACTGACGAGGATTTTGGATGAACCGACGACGAAACGACTCAGCGCCCAGGGTTTATGATGGTGTATCCGCGAAGGGGATGACTGCTGGTAGAAGGGAGAGAGCGATTGATTAGCATTTTATTCGTTACCACTTATCATTAAGCTTGCAAAGAGAAGCAGAGAGAGAGAGAGAGAGAGAGGGAGACTCACCGAGCCGTGTTGTGGGCGTGATGAGCCGATGGATACGCTCGATCGGAAGCCTTAGACCCAATCAATCTGTGGATGGTGGAGGCCTCTTGACTCTGCAGCCCAATGAGTATTTCCTAGCAGTTTAAAGCAAAGCCAGAGTTGGTGATGACGATGCTTAGCTGAGAATGATGAAAGTTAAATATCTTGATAAATTATGCTCTGTTTGGAGTTTTCCAGTTTATCTATTCATGTAATCAGAGGATGTGTGTGAGGTTAGAGATAAGTAGTTTGTTTTGCTAATTATGGAGTCGATGTGCTTTGAGCCATACAGTTTCCGAGAATGCTTGGGATATGGGGATCAGGAAGTATTTATGTAAGCTTTTGGGAGAAGTATGAAGATGAGTCTGTCGATACTAGCACTCATCAGGGAAGAAATTGCAGGATCAAGTCCCAACTAATTATTATTCCTGATGATTCGATCGAGAGAGGGAGGGACCGGTCAAAGCCTGCTGGTGGCCGGTGCAGTGCTACACAGTTTCGGTAAACAGCATTATACGGCAGCTCAAGCTTACAGAGAAAATCGTCGATCGGAACTTGCTGATCACCCTGCAGAGTTCTTCGGTACATAAACACGCGAGAGAAATCGCTCAGAGATCACTGTGGTGAAGGCTATGACTCTGGGGGATGCTTGTATTTGATGTATCGAGGATTGCGAAGAAGAAGAAAGTGATCTGAACAAAGGTTGGATTTCCAAATTCAAAGTAAAGTCCTTCATGAGTAATTTCCTCCTGGATGTAATATTCAAGTTTGAGTGGTCATCAAACCACGAGTTTATCATCAACCAATCGACTGCCATAGCACCTGCATGCTGCCTTCTTTCTGAGGGTACAGAGCCGTTCCAATGGTTCTCGATAATGTGTGGATTGATTTATCGGGGTAATTGCCAGCTGAGTGTTACAAGAATGAAACTGTTTTCGGATTGACCTCAGGCTCTGGCATCCAAAATAAATATCTCCACTGCGAGATATAGCATTAAAAGTGTAACCTTCCCGTTGATGAGTCAATATGTACCTCTTTGCATCAGCCAATTGGGGGAGGATTGAATGTGCAATTTCGATGAGGATCCTCTGCCAATAACCATGAGCAGGAAGAGTCATCATCATGCCCATATTCCATCCATCCATAATATATGTATACGCTGGGATGCAACCGGCACATCCACATCGTCAGCTCCATCCCAGCCAATCATCATCAGCCGCTCGATCGTCCTTAAGACACCGCTCGGACCTCTCCACCACCGCTATCCAATAGGCCCGCACACAGCCCTGCAACTGCTTCTCTATATTTTACATTTACGCATCTTCTTCTTCTTCTTCTCTTCATGCAGTTGTCGTCTCAATTGATGGTTTTGGGCAGCCTCGGGGATTAAAAACATTCGCAAATCGAATCTAACCATCTTCTTCCTCTTCCGCGATAAATAACGAAGAATGCATCATGATGTGCCATAAGAGTCGTGCGGCCGGGGGAGGAGATGGGATGCCAGTTTCTCCCAGGTAGGGGGGGGAGGGGGGTTGATGAAGGTGATTCGAAAAAACACCAACAAAAACTGGTTTGTGTCTGCCAAGGATCGATCGAGACCTGCAAGGCCATGTACACATGTGTACAAAAAAATTGCAGAGTCTTTGATGATGCCATCAGTTGGGTCCTTGATCAAGGGAGAAGAGCTCCCGAGATTACTGCTCGCTTCACCCATTCTCGGGTCTTTGAATTCATGTCTCGCGTTCTCAGTTCTGATCAACAGCTTGGTTAAACCAGCAAGCTTAAACACAATCGATATGTCTACAGATTTAGGTCAAATGGATAATCAACCCCGTTGCAAAAACTGTGTATTGGATGTGTAGACTTTTGGCATCCTTCAACAAGAGATGTTCTTGTCTTTGTAATGACCTACTATCGCTTATAATCATCATCGTTGTCCGGTGTGATGCCCGCGAGTCTCCAAGAGATTCTGTTTGAAGGACATCATGAAACCCGAAATGAAAACCAAGCACACGAACATCTCCGTAGAGAAGAGAGAGCTCATGACGAATTTTCTCATCCAGTGGACGGCATTTCACGAAGATGGGCTCAACAAGCCCATGCAACTATTAGCCTTTAGCTTCTCACTTGTAGATGGGAAATGTGTATGTGCGGTTGTATGGCTTCAATGTCACGAGTTAGCTGGTAGGAGATTATTGACCCCACTTCATACACTACGAGGGAGGGCAATCACACCAGAGGCTGTTAAGAGCATTTGAATTTGTCGGGTTTTATGAAGTGTCCAGTTTTGTTAACCAAGCCTGACCGGCAACCGCATCCACCCGGGCTACATAGTACCGGTCAAAGTTAAACTAACCCAAAGCTAGATTTTGGGCTTACATATGTACTGTGGCTTGAGCTACCCCTAACCTGGCAGTTTTGAGCCCATTTTGCACAGTACTTCCCAGTTTACTGGCTCACTTGACCCAACAATTGTGGCTCATGTTGCCTGAGACTAGAATTACCAGGCTTGATTGGGCTGAAAAATTTAGCAAGCAAATGTGGATATATCGCCTTGCTGTTTATCTCCTTCTGGCTGACCAGGTGTGTTGAGGGACATATAAGGGACTGAAGAAGAAATCAACTGCTGAATGTTGATCACAAGCTTTTTAGGTAGGTTTTCAAACTGAGAATCACATATTGATTTTGCAAGGAATTAGAGTATCTGTAAAACCCCTCCCCTGTTGGGTTTCACAAGAATGTCACAGACAAGATTCATTGTAATTATAGTCTGACCTGCTTGAGATCTGTACCTGGCTCCATAGAGAACTGATCCCCATCTCTCTGAGCCAGGTAAGCTTTCCCTTCTCATTCTTCCTCTTCATTTCTTTTCTTCTCTTAACTAGTCACTTGTATGTACAGATAGAGAACTGATCCCCATCTCTCTGAGCCAGGAAATACAAGCCCCCCGTTTGGTCTTAGAATTCCTGATTTCATGTCCCATCTCACAAGCTTTTCCCTCAAGAACAGTGAAGGGACTTTCATCCCTTGCAGTATCTGTCAGGGACTTTTGTCAAGATCTGTATCCCCCCGGGCCCCCAGAATTGATTCAAGGGGCTGGCTGAATGCAAGCCCCCAAATTGTCTTATTGCATGCCCCAAAGGGTGTGTCACACCTCATAGTTGGGTGTGCACACCTCTTTTTGGGCCTGTGCAACTTTTGCACACCTCAGTTGAGGCATACCCAGTTGTGCAAGACCCCATGGACCCCCTTTACGTCCTGTGCTTGGTTGGGCATACCCCAATAGGAGGAATAGGGGGTGTACAGTGGGTAGACAGTAAAAACTGGCTGCTTGTTTTGGATTCCAGAGCTCCAAAACACAGACTTGGTCAAGTGGTGCAGAATTAAAAACAGAGAAATGTGTCGACCCCCTGTTTTCACGGGCAGCATTTCCCCAGGAGTGTTCAATTGTTCCTGCGCCGGGTAACATGCCCCCATTTATTTGTACTAAGGACACAGTTTGAGTTTCACAAGTGCCTTGGGACAAATGGTATTTATTCAATACCCTACACACTATTGCTAACTCAAAACATGTATTTCCAACGCTTTTTGTAGTATTGAACCACCTCCTTAATTCCCCCCCTACGCTCATTTTCCTGGTATCTCAATTCCAAGCAGTAGAATTGCATCACCGGATCTGGCACTTGAATTTGGATCCACCAACATCTTTCCCCAGACCAAGCAACCGTCCAAACGCCCATCTGTCCCTTCCGGCTGTCCTTCCTTCACGACCCAATTTTGCCAAATTTATCTACTACCCACAGTTCTGCCTCTGTTCCCTTAACCGGTCAAAAACTTTTACGTTTTAGCCCAGTTTTGTCCCCCAAATCTCAAGACCCTTAACCCGGCTCCTCCCCCACTCTTTCACCCAGTTCCAACCAACACGCTCCTGCTCACCACACCCCAAAGTGCCACTTTTACAATCAGGCATGCTTACAACTCCACCCCCCCCCCACTGTTTCCTTTATGTACATGAAAACAACAAAAGATCCAGTTCAATGCAAATCAATTGCTAATTTGTTTGAATCAATACAAGATCAGACTTGGGAACACTGAAAAGTTAGGGATGGATGATCATGGGCCCATAAATGATGTATGGATAACATCAATCAATTCTGATCATTTCCCTCTCATCAAAGATTACTGATTTCCACCTATTTCATTTGAATCTCCCTTTTCCAAACATCTGTAATAGCTCATAAAGCGTGTGGATTTTGCTGAGACTCAAGTACGTCAATCTCTTCTTCTTCAGTTGCAGGAGTTGGAATGCTGATCCTCTATATATGGTTATTGCTTGTGTTTGTTCTCTTACCCCGGGGTATAACAAATAAAAATCAATAGACATTACCGTTTCTATTTTGTTCAAAGTTCTGCCATGCTGTGATTAATTATGAATGACCACAATTATGTTCAGCTTTCCTGGTGAATAGGTTGTTAAATATCTTGAGTTGCAAAGAAACTCACAAATATTTTTGAGTGGGTTGAAAAGTGATTCATTGTGATCCTCCAAGCCCTGTAAAGGCCCACCAGCACCGTGACCGGCATACATGTGGTCTGTCTGATCAGAATGTGAAGAAGGCAATTCCAATTCCACATTCCTAGGAGCACCTTGGTATTCCTCATGAGGTCTATCAACTGCCTCTAAATGACATGTACATCATCTGCAAAAACATAACCACGGTTAGTAAGGACAAGAACTGTATAGCAAAGGAGGCGCGCTAAACAAAATTTGGCTCAAAAGTTGATAGATACGTCTTGTTGCCTCTGGCACCTTAACACAGTCACTCCATAATTCTCTCAAGTTTGAAGCTTGAACTAAAATAAAATTAGAAAATAAAACCAAAATGTTTGTTTTGTTCAGTATGGTTCATTCAGACTTCAAGACCTTTGTGAATAAAGCGGTGAGAGGTGACTCAAACAGTAAGGTGGGATCCCATAAACCAATTCCTAGGCCCGTGCCTGCATAAGTTGTTGAAGTCTTCAATTCTGGTACTTATTTTCTCTCTCTAAACACTCTACACAATAATGCTATCTCATATTCATCACATTCTCTGCACTCAGGGACATGACCGGATCTACTAAGACTTTGATAAATTTTTGATGGTCCAGCCGGGGATGGATTTTTCTTTGGGCTTGAGTGAGAGAAGTTTCTCCAGAGATTCTGG